ATGTATTGTTGTATCGAAGATATTTTAAAGTGATTCATCAGGTAGAAAATGAATAGATAGATAGATAACCTGATATGTGGCGCCATCTAGTGCACCTAAATTCATCTAGAAATTTTCATAAAAGTGACCCGAAAAACGGGGCTAATTCAGTAACCCTTGGCCCGATTTTAACAAAACTTATTTTATTCTGCTTCTATTTTCATTTCATTACAAATATGGTGCTATTGTGCACCATTTTTGCTGTATTTAATTACAGTCAAGCAAACAAACAAACAATTTCAGAGTTTTAGTAGTATATAGATTTTTTCCTTCAGTTAGCTTTTGCTCTTGATTGTTAAATATTAGAAAATAATATAAACTCTCATTATAATAAACTCAAAGATATATAAAATTGTATCATAACATTATAAAAGCCAGTGTCAGGTCAAATAGCCTTGAAATGCAATAAGATGTTCAAAGGGTTAAATAAAATTGAAGCAAGGTTTAACATGAAACAACACACACTACTTAATAAATTATAAGAAAGTGCAAACCTTTATTTTTACTTGACATCCTTAGCTTTCTTGAAAATTTCTGATAACCTATAAGAAATGTTCAGAACTATGACAGAAGAATTGAGATACAAGTTACAAATTTTAGTTCAAAACATTCAAAAGAATCACTGTACTAATAATTCATTTTATAAATTAAAGCAGTTCAATATTCCATGATCACAAAACATATTTAATATATCAAGAGCTACCAACAAATCTATTATTCACGTTTTACACAAAAGCAATTCATTTTTCCCTGAACACAAAACACTTAACATCACAAATATCTATCATTGTACATACCATTTAGCTTATAAATAAAACAATTATTATTCTTTGAACAGAATTCAAAAAGTGTCAAGAACAGTTAAGACTAGAAAAGGTACTCCATATCACAATTAAATAAAAAAAATCCCAAAAGGCTACAGAACTAAAAAAAGTGCAATGAATACTAACATGCAAACAAACATTTTTTTAATTTTCACTTGTGTATAACTTGGAGATAGATTTGGGAAAGACTGTGCTATTAAAAGGTGAAACTGTAGGTTGGGAGCAAAAATCTAAGGAAGCAAGAAAAAGAATTGGATAGAGTTAAGGTAAATATTACTTTGGGGGGGATGAGAATGTGAGTGCTTGATTTGAAAGTTACACAGTAGTAAAAAAAAGTTGGCTAAAAAGACAAGTTAATTTAGCATTCAGGTATCATTATCTACTAGACCGCTTGCAATGATATTCAGGAAGTTTATGTGGTGGAGGATTACCCATTAACTATACGAATAAAGTTATCTGCAGTGGGAAGAACAGAAATACTAAGGCCAGAATTTGTTTGTTGGGTGCTAAGGTATAGGACATTTATAAAATCTGTTGACAGTTTAATTGCTGGTACAAGAAACATCCCCTCTTGTGAAAGTGAATGATGTTTTAAATTGTATATCATAAGAGCTGCTTAAAAAGTATAAAATACTCACTTAGAGATTTTAGAATAGAAATAACATGGCATTTTTGGGTATGCTCCATCAGCCTATATGTGGGAAATAATTACTTAGCAGGATCCAGGGCTTAAAAGAAAGATTATCAGAGATATGCTTAGAGCAAAAGGTGGACTGGCAAGACCTATAAAATAATTTTCATAGTAAGGGTGAACTACATGCTAGAAATGGACTCCACTTTAACATATTAGACAGTAGGATGGTTGGGAAAGCTCTAAACATACAGTTTAAACTCAACTTGCATAGAGGTGAGGGAAATTGGAAATAAACAAATAGATAGATTAGCTATGGAAAAAGAGGAGTTTGGGAAAGGAATAAATTTAGTTGCCATCATTCTAATTAAGAGCAGTCGGAACAAACGAGATGAGTTAAGTGCTTTAGTTGAAATGGGAGAGTATGATATAATGGAAATTACTGAAACTTGGTTAGATTTGGAGAATAATGAGAATAGGAATTATTTTGAAACTCCATGTTAAAAGTTATTTAGTAATGATAAACCTTTGGAAAGTGCCAGTAGAATGGCTCCTTATATAAAGGATGAACTGCAGCTTGTTAGGATTGAAGACATAAAAAATGGTAGTCAAGATGCTAAATTGATATAGGTTACAAGAGTAGAAGTATAGGAACATAAAGGAAAGAATGATCATTAAAATAGTAATTTTGATGTTTTGCTACATACTGAGATAAAAAGAAATGAAAATTTAATTCCTAATTTTCAGAAAGCCAATTCTGAGACCATGAGACTAGATATATCACCAGTGAATAAGGAAAATGAATAAAAAAATGATGTGGGACAGAGTTGGATTTTTTTTAAATAAGTTGCTTTTAGATCGAGTTAGGCTTGTTCTTAAAAATCAAGAAAGGGATTAATATAACCCATGGACAACAATGGGCCATTTCGTCCTTCAGTGCTATCCTTACATAACCACCCTTTATTTTTAAGAAATACTGGATTCCTCAAGTAAAGTGCTGATCTCCACTAATGCTGCTGCAACTCATTCTACAAGTCAATAACCCTGTTAGAAAAAGAAAACTGTCTTAATTGGAGTCTAGCCATTATTTTCAAAATCTTAAACTTCTGTTCTCTCATCCTATTATCTTCAGATTGATTATAGCACAAACAAATCAGAGGCCATTCCCCAGAGAATCTTGTAAGTTTCAATAAGATCACCCCTTACCTTTCTCGTCTCAAAAGAAAACATCTTTAGAGAACTTAATATTTCCTGTAAGATAACCCTTCCATTCCTGGAATCATTCTAATAACCCTTCTCTGAGTCTTTTCCAATAAGTCAATATAATTCCTTAGGTAAGGAAACCAAAATTGTACTCAGTATTCTAAGTGAAGCTTAACTAGTACTTTACATAATAATCTCTTTTGACTTGTAATTAGTATGTCTATAAATTATGTTGGCTTTACTACTAGCAACAGAGCACTGCATCAATAGTTTGAGACTTATCCATCACTATGACAAGATCCTTTTATTCAGTCACACTACTGAGTTGGTTGCAATCTATATTAAGTTTTTTAATATGCTGATACAGAGTTGTTGTTTTTTTTTATAAAAGAGTTGGGAATGATTTTTCTTTGATTATTCTGTGTGTGTGTGTGAGTAACTGAATGACATTCAACACATGGCTTTTTAGTGCCATTTAAGTTCTACATCCAGGCAATAATATGCTCGTATGGATTTCACCAATTCTTGTCCAAGTAAAAGGCTTCATGTACTCAAACTACAACAACAACAAAAAGACACCTTAAAAGAGCAATACAAATTAGGATTAAGTGGATACCTTTCATTCTAGGCTCCATAGCTGCAGGTAACATCAACAATTAAACATCATACTTAAAGGAGTAGTGACAGTTACATTTATAAAATGTCTGTATTTAAGTAACAAATATATAAACATTATTACACCTTTATCTGTAATGACCATTACATAAAAATGACATATTTATAAATAATTGCTCAAAATTACTTTACAAATGATTCTGTACTAGTAGTATACGGTATACTAGTACTCTAATATTACGTTATACTTGAAAGTATGAATTGGTTTTATTTTTTTATGACGTTAAATTATTACTCAGGATATTAATTTCATACGCAATTAATTTATGTGTGGTATAAAAAAACAGTATTTAATCATTTCACCCTTAAAACTAATATAAATAATAATATTGTACAGTATAGTTTTACTCACTAAAACCATTAGTTTCGTCGCCACCTTTAGGGTAAGTTTAAAATAATGTTCTCATCGCGTGAAGCGGGAACAACAATAAAATTAACTAACAATATTATTGAATATTTACAAACAGTATCTATGAGGACGAAGAAATAAGATTAAAACCTTTACTTTTTGTTTTGTTTCTATTATTATTTATTTTTATTTTATTTTGTATAAATTTTGGTTGAACAACTGCCTAGAGTAATTCAAATCAATATTTTACAAACGGTACATTGATTATACTTTCGTCATTTTCAATCAAAGGTTGAAGTTCAACAGTTTCTTGAGTATTTAAACTCGCAATACTCGTCTATACAGTTTTACCTATGAAATTTGAAGAAAAGAATACTCTGCCTTTACTAGATGTGTTAATTACTCAAAATGTTCAAAGTTTTTTAATGTCAATATATCGAAAGAAATCTTTCACGGAACATCTTGCCCCCTTTGATAGTTTCATTCCTGTAGAATATAAGATCAACCTGGTAACATGTCTACTGACTCGAGCCTTTAAAATCTATTCATCTTATTTCATTTTACACTGGAGACTGGTTTTATTCGTGAAATATTATTGTGTAATGGATACCCTAAGAAAATGATTAAAAGCCTGATTAAATATAACCAGGATATTTTTAACAAAAGATTTAAAATTCCCATAAAAATGTTCACAGTTGATAAATGCCCAGTTTCATTGACCATCCCTTACGTAAGACAACAAAGTGACATACTATCTTAACAACTTAGACCATTAATAAGGAAATTATACCCACAAGTCAAACTTAACATCATTTTCAAACCATCCTTGATGTTAAAACATTTCTTTAACACAAAGGATAGTCTACCTTTCTCTCTTCACTCCTGGGTTGTACATAAATACACATGTGGTGACTGCAAGGCCGCCTATATCGGAAAAACTAAACAACATTTTACTGTTCCCATCCACCAGCACATGGGAATATCACTGAGGTTAGGTAACATTTTTTAAAGTCCACCCAATTCGGCAATCCGGAACTACAGACATGAAACTGGACATCCGATAACTCACACAGGATTCACCATTCTTTGTAATGGTAATTCCGGTGTTACGTCTCCGTTTGTTAATTAACTTTCCGTAAC